GGAACCCACACCTGGTCAAGCACGTCAAGAAGTTAGAGAAAGTACAAAGGTTTGCAACAAGGCTAGTCCCAGAGCTCAAGGGAATGTCGTACAGGAAAGGTTAAGGGAAATCGGACTGACGACATTGGAGGACAGAAGGGTCAGGGGAGACATGATAACGACATACAAGATACTGCGGGGAATAGACAAGGTGGACAGAGATAGGATGTTCCAGAGAGGGGACACAGGGACAAGGGGTCACAACTGGAAGCTGAAGACTCAGACGAGTCACAGGGACGTTAGGAAGTATTTCTTCAGTCATAGAGTTGTCAGCAAGTGGAATAGCCTAGCAAGTGAAGTAGTGGAGGCAGGAACCATACATAGTTTTAAGAAGAGGTATGACAAAGCTCAGGAAGCAGAGAGAGAGAGGATCCAGTAGCGATCAGTGAAGAGGCGGGGCCAGGAGCTGAGTCTCGACCCCTGCAACCACAATTAGGTGAGTACACACACACACACACACTCATACACACACACACACTCATACACACACACACACACACACACACACACACACACACACACACACACACACACTCATACACATACACACAAACACACACACACACATGCACATATGTGGTAATGCTTTATTTACAGCTAGCAAAGTCAGGGTATTTCTCCAGAATGGTCTGTAATATACCACTGTGGATAAAATACTTAGCCATTTCTTGAACACTTCTGAGTGAGTTGTTTCTAAATTCATTAATTTTATCGCACTCCAGTACATAATGACGCAAGGTGTGACAATAATCCATCTGGCAAAGTTTACATTTCGTTTGGTCTACATCTGGTGGTGGTGATTTAACCTGCCAAAGATACTTGTAACCCAGCCGGAGCCGGGCGGTAGTGACATCACCAAGAGTCTGCTTATTTTGTTGGATGCACCATAGACATGTGGCTCCTCCTGCATGATAGAATGATGATAGATGGACTCACTGGTGTCAATCTCCCTGAGCCTTAAGTCCATAAAATTCAGCTGAAGTTCTTTTCGTATTATTGTTCTCAAACTACTACCTGACAAGCCAAGATTGTAATCTACTCCCTCTTTGAAAGCATACAGCTTAGCCAATTTATCAGTTCTATCATGCATCTGAAGACCAATGTGAGATGGAATCCACAGCATGTGCACTCTGACTCCACTGTCCACAATCCTACCATACCTGTGTCTGGCTTCTGACACAAGCATGCCACAATTTATGCTTAATGAGTTGAGAGCATTTATGGATGACAGAGAATCAGTTACAATTAAACTGTCAATCTTTGATACATTGATGCATTTCAGTGCAAGGAGTATGGCAAACAGTTCTGTCTGAAGGGTAGAGGCCCAATTATTGATGCGTGCTCCAATTTCTTTAAGAGAGCCATCACTCTGTACGACAACAGCAGCACTACCAGCTGCACCAGTGGATTGGTGAACAGAACCATCAACGTAAATAGCAACAGCCTGGTTGATCAGGCTCTGATCCACCAGGAGGCCTGGTCACAGACCGGGCCGCGGGGGCGTTGACCCCCGGAACTCTCTCCAGGTAAACTCCAGGTAAACATTGTTTCTCAGGTCAGTATTGGATTAGTGTCAAACATCGTTATGTTAATGTCAGCAGGTGCGGCAGCGGTCTAGTGTCGTGGTGATGATGGTAGTGAGTGATGACGGAGAGTTCCTGGCCGCGTTTGCCAGGTGGTCCCTGGAAGGTCGCCTGCTGGTGTGGTCAACAAGGCTGTTGGTGCTGACGTACCTCCCCTTACACCAGCTCAAGACCCTCATCTCCGCCTACTGGACCTTCACAATGACTAATGCCATGTTTGTAACAAGAGACCTAACTAAATTATTAAGGTAATTACTACACTATTACTGCTAGTGGGTTTGTGTTTGAGAGACTTGCCTAATATAGTCCAGTAGGCCTGCTGCAGTGTTCCTCCTTATGTTCTAATATAAATACAGTGGTCCCTCGATTATCGACGGTAATCCGTTCCTGGAAGCCGGTCGATTATCGAAATGGTCGATTTACGAATCAATTTTCCCCATAAGAAATAATGTAAATTCAATTAATCCGTTCCTGACACCCAGAAGTATTAAAACAAAAAAATTTTTTACATGAAATATACATGTAGTACATAAACAATACAATGGGAAATGATGAATGAAACATTAACAGCATAACACTTACCTTTATTGGAGATTCTTCTTAGTGTATGGCCTTTGCTGGCCTTAAAATCACTCACTTCACAACTATTTGCAGGCAATTTATTTACCAAATCTTCATGCAACTGCCTAGCCTTTTCACAAATAATCGAGGTCATAAGACTGTCTCCTGCTAATTGTTTCTCATTTATCCACACCAATAATAACTTCTCAATCTCTTCCAGTACTGGTGATCTCATTTTTGTCAGCATATTTACCCCCTTTGCAACAACAGCGTCCTTGATTTCCTTTCTCATGGCTATGATGGAAGATATGGTTGAATGATTTTTGTTATACATCCTCGCCAGTTCGCCCACACGTACGCCACTATCATATTGTTCAATGATGTTTTTCTTAAATTCAATGGTATTTCTCACCTTCTTTACCAAAGGTTTGGCACTAGGAGCTTTCTTTGGAGCCATGGTAGCTTATTTAGCACTTAAATAACTTGCAAGCACTAAAATAAATGAAATATGAAATATTTCACTGGAGCACGTGAGAGGACCGCCGCTAACTGGTAAACAATGGCACACTGGCTGGGAAGGAAGGCTGAGGGGGGTCGAGGCCCGCTTACCTCGTGCAAACGCGTCTGGGACGACGGGTCGAGACGGGTCGATAAACGAATTTCGGTCAATTTCCGAGTCAATATTTTGTCGAAAAATCCGGTTGATTTCCGAAATGGTCGACTTTCAGGCCGGTCGATTATTGAGGGACCACTGTAATATAACTAATGTTTCGTCCGTAGCGTGACCCGAGAAAGGTATTCCCCGTATCTCAATGAGTCCAGTTCCCTCTACTGTACCTTAACGCACGCGAATGGAATAGTGCAGAGTGTAACATAAGTTGCTAATGCAGTTAAATACAATTCTGAAGATTCTGTGTCATCAGAGGAGGCTATTCCCAAGTTATCGCCCGGGAGTAACAAATTAACACCTCCATAACCCTAGTCCAGTTCGATCCTTCCACTAAGATACATGAGATTTGAAAGTTTAAATCCAATAAGAGTCATTCTCTAGTTGTAGCACATGGCTATTATCCTAAAAGATATCGGATGTGGTAGGCCTAAGCTGCAGGTGGTGTGTGTGTATACTCACCTATTTGGGGTTACAGGGGGTCGATTCACAGCTCTTGGCCCCGCGTCTTCACCGCTCGCTACTAAGTCCACTTTCTCCTTGCCCCATAAGCTTTATCATACCTCTTCTTAAAGCTATGTATGGATCCTGCCTCCACTACATTACTCTCTAGACTGTTCCACTTCCTGTGTGTGTACTTGTATGGTGTGTACCTACAGATGTGGTGTGTACTTACAGGTATGGTGTGTCCTTACATGTATGGTGTATACCTACAGGTGTGGTGTGTACATGTACGTACCGTACAGCAGGCAGGGAGCACAGGTAGTGAGGGTAGCCTCCTGGACGCACCATCGAGGACTCACAACACACACATCCTTCTTCTTGGATAAGTTTACTAAGTCAGCAGACACATGTTTTTCTAACATTTATCAATTATTTTCTTCATATACTTTTCCCTGATACAATTTACTGCTTTTATTATTACAATCTTTTATTATTAAAATCTAGCTCCTGGCCCTTCTGAGTCATATGGGTTAATCTGTACAAAAAATTTAATGAGCTTAAGCTGATGTATTTATTTAATTAAAAAGATTTTTATAATTATATTTTGTAAATTATATGGTACATAGAAATATATATGTAATTTTCCTGCTGTTGGAAGGATGACTTACGAGGGACAATTTTTGGTGAATTAAGAAGTTTGGTGACCGTGTGAGACGTTAATTAGTCTCACATTTAGTCCATTTAGTCAGGGGTTCAGATAACTGGGCAGGAAGTTACTCTAGTAAAGTGATAATGAATCAGTGTGGGACGTACATTTTTGTGGCCGTGAAGCTTGAACTGTTGTGGTGTCTCCCTCACGACCACCAACGGGCACCCTACATCATACCTTAATAACCTTTTAATTTTTATTTTAATTATTATTTTGCAATGAATTATACTATATTATTACAAAAAACTCTTCTCAAACAGAAGATCCAAAATTTTTAGGCACTGTGGACTCCAGTGGCTTCTGGGGCCCCTCCGGGATTAGGGGCCCCTCTGGGATTAGGGGCCCTGAAGATTAAGCTTCATTAGTTTCACAGAAGATCCGCCAATGTACAGAATAATTTAGTTTTAAATTTCTGCAGACTTCAAGGTATTTGTGATTCAGTGACGAGGTAAACTATACCTACATCTTCCTCTTACCTTACCCATCAGCTTTTACGGTGCAGCAGTGAAGGTGACAGCACTACCGTACTCTCCTTACTGGACAGAGCACATCACTGGCACCAACACCCAATATTCTGGTTCAGATTACTTACAACTGAAGACGTTGGCGCAAGCTCTCAACTTCACCATTCACCTCCTTCCCTGCGCCAACTGGGAAGAAGTAAGGCACTTATTATTACCTTTAATTTGGAAAAAAAATGCAAACTAATTTTCCTTTGCAATTGATAAATGGTACAGTACTCTTCACCAACTCCAAGGCTGAGGCATTGATTATCTCATTTTTTTTTGTGTATAGTTCTACTGTCGTCCAATCATGTCCTCGAATTTGTACTGGTAAAGCCACTGGAAGGCTAAATGTCTACAATAAAAATACCCAGATGTTGCACATGTGTCTAATTCTTCATCTTGTCGATACTGTATACCACACATGTACAACTTGTTTCCTTTCCATGAGAACAATTTGTATGACATGCGGCCGTGTTAATCCGCAGGTGACTGATCAGGTGGTGGCTCGTGTCTCTCTGGTAGCTAGTGTCGTCTATGCAGTTCTTCCTACTCGCTTGGAGATGTACGACTATACTTATATATTTGACTACTCTCCTTATTCCTTTGCTTTGGCGAAGCCTACGTTGAGGGCGCAGTGGCAGAGCCTCTACTACCCGCTCTCAGTGGAGGTCTGGGCAGCCATCTTCGTTGCAGTTATCCTAGTGACTGTTGCTCTCTATTTGGTAGGAGTAATTGTGTTTTTAAGTTTATGTAACTATTTCCAAGTACATTTATTAAGTACACTGCGATGACTCGAGTTTCAGTTATACACACAGCCTATATACAGTGTATAATGTCTCATCTCTTACTGTACCTCAAGCGCTCTATAATTTACATTAGCTGTTTCTTCATAAAGTAGTTTTTAAATGCACTCATGTAAGAATAACTGATTATTATTACATATTTTTATAACATTCGTAGCTTCCCTTAAAACCAAACGCATAGATATGAAGACGAGGCCCTATTTTAACCTCAAATATATCACAGATCACCCAAGCAGATATGTCAGGGCAGCTCTCAAAAAGACTGGGTGCAGAGTTTGTCGTGATAGATGTTGTAGCAACCTTGCTGGGGCAGGGTTATTCTCGCAGACACCCTGCCAACATTTCCAACCGTCTGTTACTAGCAGTGTGGTTGATATTTGTCTTTATCATGGGTACTGCCTACCGGGGTACCCTCACTGCCTCACTCACCCTCACCAAGACACCTTCACGTCCTGAGACTGTAGAGGACCTTGTCACAACTGTACACAGGTAAGACTAACGTGCACGTTAACTAGTCATTAGGTTAATACACGATACACGAGGCTGGGTGTCATCTATTTTATTAAATATACACAGACGAGGATCACAGTGTATATACCCTTCACTTATCTTTTCTTTAGCCAAAATATATAGAAATATTAACCTTATTTGTTGTTCTCGTGAACCACACCCAGGGCAACGATAGAGTCATACGGGACATCTATAAAGAAAACCTTAATGCAGTCTGGGAGCAGCGTGTTGGTTGCCCTGGGCACGATGATGGTTACTGGTGTTGATATTGTGGACTCACTCAAACACTCTCTAAGTGAGAAGTAAGTAACCTTCATTTTGGTACTAAAAACTATTTGACTATGCAAATAAATAGCCAAGGATATTACCCTATGTTTGAAGAAACATAAGCTTAAGTTCAAATAACTATAGCTCAAATCACTATTGACACTGAACACAAAACACAAATTGTAAATATATACCCAGATGTGCTCCCGTTAACCCTTTTTAAAGCCTATTGCCTTATGTTCTTGAGCTATTCCCCACAGCGTGGACTTTCGCTGTTGATGCTTGCTTGTTTGAATTCATCTGGCACTGAAATGACATGATCATTGACGTTGTTGATGGCTGGCTTGTTAATAATCAATCTAAGCATTTACAAGGATAATAATGTACTTAGTGGTGTCTACAAGGATGCTTCTTAGGCGCAATAGAAATAGGTCACTTGCAAATTCTGTTAATTTTTTTAAGTGCTTTTTCACTATTTCGCCACACGTATAAATATTAACAACACTAAAGCACTGTATATCATTGTAGCCTTTCTCCTCTAACTCAGACAAGCACATATAGGCAGCAGGAACTACCTGGAGCAGGTGATCGCTGAGAACTTTACACAGGCAGATGGATCAACATTAATGTACATTGGGCGAGAAAGGATAGCGCCAACCATGGCTGCCTGGCCGGTGCCTCACGATGCTCCCTATAAACCCATGTTTGACCGCTCCATACAAGCATTATTTGAGGTAAGTCAGCTTGGTTAAGGTACGCACTGATTATTTTCACGGTAGGATACACGAACGTTGGTTTTGAAAACCAACAAGTTGAAGAATTAGACACTTTTGCAACATGTTGAAGAGTTAGACATTTGTATCTAATTCTTCATACACAGAGGTGTATATTTCTTTGAGAGTATATTTTCAACTGGGAGTTTGCTGTAATCCCTATTTTAGGGACTGGTGGTGAAGAGGTTATATGCAGCTGTAATAACCCTAGTATAGTCGATAGACTTTAAACACCATTAACTATGATTTAACAAAATGTACTGGGAAAATGCTTGACAACTGGAATGCCAAGTCAGTGTCACGTGCATATTGTGTGTACGTTAATTGTTCCTTATAGAAATACATTTTTTTTTCTTAAGGCTGGATTTCCTGAGAAATGGAAGCAAGATACACTGAGACAAGAGGCAAGTCTTGTAAAGCGTCGGAAAAGGGAAGAGAATGATAAAGAAATAACCAACACTAGCACCAACAGCAGAAACAACAAAGCTCTCACCACTACACACATGCAAGGACTCTATGGACTCTCAATAATTGGACTCATCACTGCCCTCGTTACCTTCGTGATGGAGATAATAATTGGAAAGTGTTACCCACGCGCCTGATGGTCCAGTGGAGCAGGGAAAAATAACCAGAAGACATGTATATACGCACACACAAAGGCGACAATAGATACCAAGTTCCAGATAAATGAGATTTGAACTGACTTTAAAATGAAATGTTTTAAGAACAGTTCAATGTAAATAGATTAATACTGGTCATGGCAGAACCTGGAAAATGTGTAAGCATTTTTTTCTTAATTAATCTGTTCCATTTAACTATGTTAGCAAGAGAAACTGCAGGGTTATGACATTTTACTGTGAAGACGTTTCGCCCATCAGTGACAGTGTGTGTATATATATATATAATATATATATATATATATAATATATATATATATATATATATATATATATATATATATATATATATATATAATATATATACGTATATCAGTAACAACACTGCGACTAGCCGGGGGCTCGAACCCGTGTTGTTTTAGCCCTGCCTCATAGTGAGCGGCTAGTTGCAGTGTTGTTATTGATTAAATACCACTCGAAGAGAAAGAATAAACGATACACTGATAAACATGTTTATAAGCGGCGCGAGAGGACTAGGCTCTCATTTACGGAATCAAATACTCACTTTTTATGACTTTTTAACGTTTATCGTTTATTATAAAGTTACCATTTATGCTGTGGTTTATGCTGTGTTGTGTTCGTACGTAATGCGCTTTATATTTTTTTCTGTGAATTTGAGTGGTAATAAATTTTATTTAAGTGGTAGTAATAAAAAAATTAAGTAGTAGTAATAAAATTGTAAGTGGTAGTAATAAAATTATAAGTGTACATAATAAAAATCACAAGTGGAAACCACTGGTACAGTGACAACTGTACTGTGTATTGGAAAGATATAATAAAAGGAACAAGTGTCCCGGATGTTTACTACATCCGGGCAGACAAAAAGAGGACTATCCTTGGGTAATTAATCTCTATAGGTTAGTAACCCAGGATAACCCATAACTAAGCCTCACAATGTGGCCTATTTACACTGTTGACACAACCCACAACAGTCTATCAACACCCAGGTGCCTACTGACTTCTAGGTAAACAGAAGTACCAGGTGTATAGAAACTGTGCCCTAAATTTTATCTGGTAAGTCTATTTAGACTAGGTAGGTTGGTAGACAGCAACCGCCCAGGGAGGTACTACCGTCCTGCCAGGTGAGTGTAAAACTGAAGCCTGTAATTGTTTTACATGATGGTAGGATTGCTGGTGTCTTTTGTCTGTCTCATAAACATGCAAGATTTCAGGTACGTCTTGCTACTTCTACTTACACTTAGGTCACACTACACATATATGTACAAGCATATATATACACACCCCTTTGGGTTTTCTTCTATTTTCTGTCTAGTTCTTGTTCTTGTTTATTTCCTCTTACCTCCATGGGGAAGTGGAACAGAATTCTTCCTCCGTAAGCCATGCGTGTTGTAGAGGCGACTAAAATGCCGGGAGCAAGGGGCTAGTAACCCCTTCTCCTGTATATATTACTAAATGTAAAAGGAGAAACTTTCGTTTTTCCTTTTGGGCCACCCCGCCTCGGTGGGATACAGCCAGTGTGTTGAAAGAAGAAAGAAGAAAAGTCTATTTAGGCACAGGTACACATGAGTACAATTATCATGCACAATCGGTCCAAGTGACTTATATCCACTGTGATCTTGGATTAATCCGGGTCCGCCGGTTGTGAGCTGGACGAGCTACCGTTGAGCTATGTTTCACCTTAATAAAAAAAGTGAAGGACATGATGGCAAGATCAATGACACCAATGTTCGTAGACAGCAAGGTTGTGTACGTTCAGTGAGATGGAATTCCCCATCTGGTACCAGTAACAGCAACTTCCCCTGGCCACGGGGAACTTCCCTCTCTCATACCACTTCTTCCTCCTCCCCCCGCTTTTTTATAATTTAGGCTTTGGGTACATATCATACATTTTTTTTATTGGAGACTTGAAGTCACAGATGTGTAGTTAATAACGCCGCAAGAACAGTGTTTGTCTTGATTCTGTAACTGACGTTCGTATGTCTACCAATCACAACTCCCTCGTGTTTATTAATCTCAACTTTCGTGCCTGTCAACCACAACTCTTCCTGCCTGTCTATTTACCACAACCTGTGTATCCACCATCTTCAACCCATCAACATTCCCATACCATCTATTACAATTCCAGGGGACAAATATGTAACAGACACGTGAAAAATAGAACATTATGTGGATTTAACAAAGAATATTCCAGTAAAACCAGATAATGTGACTTTCCACTTAGTTTTCAGTTAATCTACTTAGCTATCTGCAGAATGTTCCGGGGGTCAACGCCCCCCGGCCATATCGGATCAATAAATCATTTATGGACATTTTAACAAGAGAAAAAAAATCAGTCATTTATGGGTATTTTAACTATAGAAAGATAATTAATATTTTGTTTTTCTCTTCTTAATTGTCATATAACATCCCATCCGCCCATTTATCTCTTTTCTCCCTTCTCTTCTCCTCTCGTGTTACCTGTCTCTCTGCAACTTGTCTCCTCCCTCCCAGCTCCCTCGTTCCTCCGTCTTTTTTCTCTTTCCTTCATCTACATGTCGCCTTCCTTCCGTCTCTTGTTCCTTCTCTCCCTCTATTCTTTAAGCTCTTCCCTCCCTCCTTTGCTTCAATTGGGGATAAGTATCAGGATGTTTCTTGGGGCAGTTTTTGGTGGTGAGGTGAAGTAACCTCCTTCAGGGCTCGGTTTTTACTCCTGGGCAGGATTTCTGGGAGTGTTAGGAAATCTGGCTCTCCCTGACTCCTCTTCCCTGGGTGTCCTTCCCCTGGCTCCCCTCCCCTGAGTGTCCTACAAATACCAGTCTAAGCCTGGTAACTCGTTCTGAAACCACTTACCTCTATCTTTTTTATGCACTGTTCTAAGTTCACACACCCACACACACACAGTGAAGAGGCAGGGCCAGGAGCTATGAATCGACTCCTACAACCACAATTAGGTGAGCACACACACACACACACGCACACGGGTCCCACAGGGGTCGGTCCTAGGACCAGTGCTATTTTTGGTATATGTGAACGACATGACGGAAGGGTTAGACTCAAGAAGTGTCCCTGTTTGCAGATGATGTGAAGTTAATGAGGAGAATTAAATCTGATGAGGACCAGGCAGGACTTCAAAGAGACCTGGACAGACTGGACACCTGGTCCAGCAAATGGCTTCTCGAATTTAATCCTGCCAAATGCAAAGTCATGAAGATAGGGGAAGGGCACAGAAGACCACAGACAGAGTATAGGCTAGGTGGCCAAAGACTGCAAACCTCACTCAAGGAGAAAGATCTTGGGGTGAGTATAACACCGAGCATGTCTCCGGAAGCACACATCAATCAGATAACTGCTGCAGCATATGGGCGCCTGGCAAACCTGAGAACAGCATTCCGATACCTTAGTAAGGAATCATTCAAGACACTGTACACCGTGTATGTCAGGCCCATACTGGAGTATGCAGCACCTGTTTGGAACCCGCACTTGATAAAGCACGTCAAGAAACTAGAGAAAGTACAAAGGTTTGCGACAAGGGTAGTTCCAGAGCTAAGGGGAATGTCCTATGAAGAAAGATTAAGGGAAATCGGCCTGACGACACTGGAGGACAGGAGGGTCAGGGGAGACATGATAACGACATATAAAATACTGCGTGGAATAGATAAGGTGGACAAAGACAGGATGTTCCATGGAGGGGACACAGAAACAAGAGGCCACAATTGGAAGTTGAAGACACAAATGAGTCAGAGAGATAGTAGGAAGTATTTCTTCAGTCATAGAGTTGTAAGGCAGTGGAATAGCCTAGAAAATGACGTAGTGGAGGCAGGAACCATACACAGTTTTAAGACAAGGTTTGATAAAGCTCATGGAGCGGGGAGAGAGGGCCCAGTAGCAACCGGTGAAGAGGCGGGGCCAGGAGCTAAGACTCGACCCCTGCAACCACAAATAGGTGAGTACACGATAAAGCTTATGGAGCAGGGAGAGTCGACCTAGCAGCGACCAGCAAGAGGCTGGGCCAAGAACTGTGATTCGACCCTGCAATCACAAATGGGTGAGTATACACACACACTCCTTCAGGAGATTATTCAAAGCCTCAAAATAACCCTTCTCAATCCCCACTCACTCGCTAGCCTCTCCCCATTCAATCCCTCTCTACTAACCCATGATCAATGACCAGGGAACTGGAACACTGAAAGCTAAAATACGTTAAGAGAAACGAAACTAAAAAGGTGTGATGCACCAAGGGCAGATGGAATAAGAAGAGAGGAATGGAACGAAGAAGCGGATGTCCAAGGTGTCCCGCAAGCCTCCCAGCACTCACCAAGACAAAAGCCACGAGGATGCAGTTTCCCCAGTTGGATATCAAATTATACACAAAGAAACCATAGCACGGGCGGGGATAGAACCCGCGATCAGAGTCTCAAAACTCCAGACCGTCGCGTTAGCCACTGGACCAGCTAGCCACAATAAGATTCGTCCAACTAGGAAGGTTAGCATAGGCACCATTGTGACCACAAATGCGGTATGGTTTGTTTGCAATCGTGTCATTACGACTTCGTGAGTCATATACACAAAGAACCCGTACATGGGAGAAACCTATGACGACGTTTCGGTCCGACCTGGACCATTAATTAGTTAGTGGTCCAAGTGGACCGAAACGTCGTCACAAGGTTCTGTCTCCTATGTGCGAGTTATTTGTGTAT